AAATAAAATAAATAAATAAAAAGAAATATAAAATAATAAAAAACTAAAAAGTACAAAATAAAATAATAAAAGCAATAAAATATGAAAAAAATAAATATAAATAAAATAAATAATTAAAAATTAAAAAAATAAAATAAATAAATGAGTGAGATTGTTGTGAAGGAGGAGGAAGTAAAAAGTGCACATTAAGAAGATATATAGGATAGATATTGGTTAACCCTGGACTTGAAGAGACCAAGATTGTAGTGGTCTGGAAAGCATCCTCGTGGGAGTTTGTACCACAAAGTAACAGTTCTGGGTAAGAAACTGTCTGGGTGGAACTTGTTTTTTATCAAAGGAACACAAACAGTGTGGATAGTTTGGCATGATGGGCGTGGTGGGTCCTAGCTGTGAAGGTCCGAGTTGGGTGGGGGAGGACTAAAGAATGTCGTTTTCTTATTTTTGTAATCAACAGTGAAACATTAAATTGATGAAGTCATTCCAACTTGTTCAGGGGTCATATAACTGACGTCATGTGTAGAATTAATAAAAAGTTGAACTCGTCATCATCATCGTCAGTCCCCTGTGTCACTGTAGAATTGTGTAAATGCCCTCCTCAAAATAAAGTGGTGTCAAGCAACTGGATTCACCCATGCACGTTTGCCACATCAGTGTCATCTGAATAAAACCGCTTCCTGGATAAATGTTGCCTTAGAAATCTAAACACATTGATAACCTGAAGGAACCATATCAGGAGTAGGCACTGTATGCATTTTAAAAAAAAAAGAGAAGGCTATTTTGCTGATCCCTGTAAAATAGACAAACCTGCTTTTAAGAAAGAAAGAAAGAAAATGAAGGAAAAAAAAAAGAAGGCTATTTTGCTAATCCCTGTAAAATAAACAAACCTGCTTTTAAGAAAGATAGGAAGAAAATGAAGGAAAAAAAATGAACAAATTTTTGAATCTGTAAAATAAACAAATGTTTAAATCAAGTAAAAAAAAAAAATCTGTAAAATAAACAAATGTTTGAATCTGTAAAATAAACAAATGTTTGAATCTGTAAAATGAACAAATGTTTGAATCTGTAAAATGAACAAATGTTTGAATCTGTAAAATGAACAAATGTTTGAATCTGTAAAATAAACAAAATGAAAATGAACAAATGTTTGAATCTGCTAAATGAACAAATGTTTGAATCTGTAAAATAAACAAATGTTTGAATCTGTAAAATAAACAAATGAAGGAAAACAAAAAAATGAACAAATTTTTGAATCCTGTAAAATAACAAATGTTTGAATCAGTAAAATGAACAAAATTTGAATCTGAAAAAAAAAAAAGGCTATTTTTTGAATCTGTAAAATGAAAACAAATGTTTGAATCTGTAAAATGAACAAATGTTTGAAAAAAAAAAATGAACAAATGTTTGAATCCCTGTAAAATAAACAAATGTTTGAATCTGTAAAATAAACAAATGAAAGAACAAAATGAATCAGGAAAAAAACAAATGTTTGAATCCCTGTAAAATAAACAAAATGTTTGAATCTAAAAAATAAACAAATGTTTGAATCAAAAAATGAACAAATTTATTTGAATCCTGTAAAATAAACAAATGTTTGAATCTGTAAATGAAAAAATGTTTGAATCTGTAAAAAAACAAATTTTGAATCCCTGTAAAATAAACAAATGTTTGAATCAGAAAATGAACAAATGTTTGAATCTGAAAATGAAAAAAAAGTTTGAATCTTTTAAACAAATGTTTGAATCTGTAAAATAAACAAATGTTTGAATCAAAAAATGAAAAATGTTTGAATCTGTAAAATGAAACAAATTTTTGAATCCCTGTAAAATAAACAAATGTTTGAATCTAAAATTAACAAATGTTTGAATCTGAAAATGAACAAAAAATCAGTAAAATGAACAAATTTTTGAATCTGTAAAATAAACAAATGTTTTAAAAAGAAAACAAATGTTGAAATGAAAAAAAACAAATTTGAATCCCTGTAAAATAAACAAATGTTTGAATCAGTAAAAAAACAAATGTTTGAATCAAAAAAATGAACAAATGTTTGAATCTGTAAAATAAACAAATGTTTGAATCTGTAAAATGAAAGAAATGTTTGAATCAGTAAAAAGGCTGTTTGAATCCTGTAAAATAAACAAATGTTTGAATCAGTAAAATGAACAAATGTTTGAATCAAAAAAAAACAAATTTTGAATCTGTAAAAATGAACAAATGTTTGAATCTAAGAAATAAACAAAATTTAAATCTGTAAAAAAAACAAATTTTGAATCTGTAAAATGAACAAATGTTTGAAAGTAAAATAAACAAATGTTTGAATCAGTAAAATGAACAAATTTTTGAATCCCTGTAAAATAAACAAATGTGCTTTTAATCAGAAAAAATAAACAAAAATTTGAAGGAAAAAATGAACAAATTTTTGAATCCCTGTAAAATAAACAAATGTTTGAATTTTAAAAATAAGAAAGAAAATGAAGGAAAAAAAAAATGAACAAATGTTTGAATCTGTAAAATAAACAAATGTTTGAATCAAGAAAATGAACAAATGTTTGAAAACAAAAAATAAACAAATGTTTGAATCAGTAAAATAAACAAATGTTTTTAAAAAGAAAAAAATGAAACAAAAAAACAAATGTTTGAATCCTGTAAAATAAACAAATGTTTGAATCAAGAAATAAAAAATGAAGGAAAACAAAATGAACAAATTTTTGAATCCCTGTAAAATAAACAAACCTGTTTGAATCTGTAAAATGAACAAAATGTTTGAATCAAAAAAACAAATTTTTGAATCCTGTAAAATAAACAAATGTTTGAATCAAGAAATGAACAAATGTTTGAAAACAAAAATGAACAAATGTTTAATCCTGTAAAATAAACAAATGTTTTTTAAGAAAAAAACAAATGTTTGAATCTGTAAAAAAACAAATGTTTGAATCCCTGTAAAATAAACAAACCTTCTTTTAAGTAAAATAAACAAATGTTTGAAAAAAAAAATGAACAAATTTTGAATCCCTGTAAAATAAACAAACCTGCTTTTAAGAAAGAAACAAAGAAAATGAAGAAAGAAAGTAAAGATGGAAATGAGGAAAATAAGGAAGAGAGAGAGATGAGGGGGAAATATAGCAGGCGATAATGTTATTATGCATTTAACGTTTGTTTCAGTGAAATGGTAAAACTTGTGAATTTCATTTCTTTTTATTTGTACCCTCTTCTCTAAATATTGACCTGCATTCATACTCATAATTGTTATTGCAATATTTTGATAAAATTGTTAAGCTCAAATATTTAATGGGGTGATAGGGTGTCATTTCAAGAGATTTTATTGTCACAGAACTCGGAAGAAGCTTATTCAATAATTGTCAGCCTATTCGTTAAAAAAAGAAAAACCAACATCCTAACTATATCATTGGAGCCAATCTTCTTATTCAGCAAATAAATTGATGGCAACCATGTTATGGGATGCAAAATGGCTGCTACTCATGAACATCATATCGCATGAACAGACAATGCGGTATGATAAAGTGGAACATTGGACAGACTGAGGGAAACCATCCGTTAAGAGATCAAGATTTTAATCATAATGGTATTATTCTGTCTTTATTTCTGAGATGAGGTATTATGTACACTATTTACATTATTTGGACTATTGTCCTCATCTTTATTACAACGCAATGGTGTTATTTGTCTATGATCTCAACCTGATCCCACAGAGGGTGGTGATCTCCCATTTCTCTCCATATGTGGTCAGCCATGCCTGATTTTTCCACTTCCCCTCTTGTGACAGCTTTCTGGTGTTCTTTAAGCCTTAACTTAAGGGGGCAGCCTGTCCACGCTTTATATTTCTTTCTGCAGCTGCATGGGATAGCGTACACACAGTCTTTAGTCGTGTTCTCTTCTGTGGGGGGGTCTTACTCGAGAGAGATATCTGCAAAATGTCATCCAGCTTTTGAACGTTGTCCTGATGTTATATGGACTGCAGATCCTTTGTATTTTCTCTGAAGGCTGGAGAGTACAATGGCCGAAACATTGTAATAAATATGGCAACAAAGATGAGGACAATAGTCCAAATAATGTAAATAGAGGTATTATTCTGCCACACAAAATAAATATAAGCCTAAGATGGTTGGATACTGAAAATTCAAAATATCCTGAAGTATTTTCGAGATCAGCTAATACTTATCATGAAGCAAGAATTTACATGGCTTGTGAAAGGTGGGTACTTATGGCACAATTGTGCCATGTGAGAAGGTAAAATTTTGAGTCTGATTTAAGAAAGAATAGCATTTTTTCTTTTATCAACTTATCTTTATCTTAATCTTATTGACTCGTTTTTTATGGCTTATCAACCCTTTGCAGGTTATTTAGTGCCAGAAAATATTTTTAGATTGTAACAATTTTTTTTTAGAGAAGAGACAATACTGGTTTAGTGATACAGGTCTTACTAATTAACCCATAGCTGGGGGAAAAAAGGTGGTTTCATGCCTTTCCCAAGGGTATTTATGCATAATTAAATATAACAAACCTAACGAGAATTGGAACTCGACTCTCCAATTACCAATTCCAAGAAGTTATCCATTACACCACTTGTACATCCAAGTTTACAGCAACTGGTATTCCGAAGTGGTCACCCATCTTGGTAGTGACTAGGATCGACATTGCTTAACCCTTTCCCCAGTGTAGATGTGTATATACATTTTTACCAAAAGTGTCTTTTTCCGACATGTCCAACTAAAGACAATGCCCAAAAACCAGCTACAGATGTGTTTGTATGTTGATCTACCAGATGTATATCTGGTAGAGTTGGTAGCCACCGCTCAGGTACTTCAAGGTGTCACAGTTTTCTTAGCTACTATATTAAAAACAAAAAAAAAACAAAAAATTGTCCGAAAATGAAATGTTTTTCCCAAAATAACTGGCTGGGAAGGGGTTAACTTCAGTGATCATATGGGAACCACAGTTTCAACGTGATGTGGCCTTAAGCCATACCACCCATATATCCAATATTACAGCACCTAGTATTTCCAAATGGTCACCCATCTTGATGATGACCAAGCCCAACGTTGCTTAACTTCAGTGATTGTACAGGAACCAGTGCTTCAATATGATGTGGCCATAAGCCATACAAACCATACATTCAATCTTACAGCACCTAGTATTTCCAAGTGGTTACCCATCTTGGTGCTGACTAGACTTGACGTTGCTTAACTTCAGTGATCATACAGGAACCAGTGTTTCAACATGATGTAGTCATAAGCCATATAAACCATACATTCAATCTTACAGCACCTAGTATTTATCACCATAAGCCAATACTCTTTGGAGAAACTGATTTAGCTGCATTTTATTTCTTTTAAAAAAGTAGTTGTGACCATAGTTAAAAAAATAATGTCTGAAAGTTCTTAGTTTTGCTTCCCTTTCTACAAACTCATCCATCCACACACTAATATAGTCACCCCCAACAATGACATACATTTTCTGATTGTTAGAAACACCACTGTTAACCCCGCCTCAGTATAACATAGCATTGTCACTTGCATTAGAACTGTGAACCATCCCATTTGAAATATAATATTATAGTTCCTGTTATTGTCTGTAGTGTTCTGTTTTTCTTTTTTTGTTTAAATAGATAAAGATGGGAAATTGACTTTAAAAAAAAAAGAAGAAATTGTAAGTTTTAAATTTCAAATATATTTCAAATAGCAAAAGTTTTTCGTTTTTATTTTCAGTAAACAAACAAAACTGCTTGTAATTCACATGGGGAAGGTTAAAAACTAAAATAAACATGGAGAAAGAAAGATTCAGTTGGTTTGAGAAGCACTGACCTAGGTCCTACCTATCTGATATGGTGGACTGGCATTTTTTTTTCTCAATGTGTCATGTACCTGTTACTGTAATATTTCGTGGTACCAAAAGCGAATGACAATAATAAAAAATAAAAATTGACTATTTTTTATCTTCCATTTATTTTGCAAAAATAATTCAATATCAAAACAAAAAAAAAAAAAATAAGCTGTTTATTAAACACAAAAATAAAAATTATTGTAACCTTAATCATTACAAATGATTCCTTAGCATGGCCTGGACACTGGCTGTGCACCGGCACTGGTACACAGACCACCATTAAGTATCACTGAAGGTATCATGCTCTTAATGAAAATGCCTTTTTTACTTAACTCTATTTCCCAAAAATAGTGGTAGTTTTCGTGAGAACAAACGAAATGGCTCTAAAAAACTAAAGTTCACCAGAAGTTGATGTTCAGTGTCAAAACTCACAAAATACCTTGTGTTTTTTTGGTTTTTTTTTACCTTCATGCATAGCATGAACGCAATAGTGAAGCCTAAAGAGAAAAAAATCAATCACGTTAATAAAGGGGGTAGTGATAAAGGAGGCCTTTTTGTAACAACATAAATTTTTAGTTACTACTTAACTAGTCTATAAGAGAGAGAAAAAAAAACGAAACAAAAAAAAAACAACTTTATCTTTTTAGGCTTACGTAAATAACGAACAAAAAGTTCAATAACTTTCAAAAAGAAAAAAAAAAAACGAATACAAAATAAATATTTTTTGTTTTTTTAGTTTAGAAGAAAAAAGACTTTTTAAAAAGATAATTTTCTGGGGAAATTAAGGTCATATTCCTTCCAAACCAATAAAAAATATATGAGAAAAATATTTTTTCCTATAAAATAAAATTACACTTGTCAAAAACTAACAAAAGCCAAATCTTTTTCCGTCCATGTACACATCAAAAATAAATTCTTAAAAACAAGTCATAACTTCAGTTTGTGACTAGGCAAAAAAACAACAAAAAACAGAGAATATTTTCATAAAATAATATTTTAATTTATCTAATTTTTTAATTTAAATGAAATAAAAATTACCGCTTCTTAAATCTTAACTTAGTCTTAGCTAGAATTTGATTTTGAACTGAAATTTTTGTGCTGTTAAAAAACTGTTGTAGGCCACCTCCATCGTTAAGCTAAATATTTAAAAATTTCAAAAACTATTTTAAAAACTGAATATTGAAACAGTTAAAATGTGACTGAAATTGCCCGATTGTGTAAAGTTTAAAAATTGTTCACACGTTTCTGTGATTTTTTTCCCCCGATTTGTTTTTTGTTTTTTCAACATAGAACACGTTTGTACGCAAAACACGCAATAGGCGATGACGTTGAGTAATGTTTAGTGAATTGTCTGGTTGCTGACCATTATGACTGCATAGGGAGTTCAATAACTGGGAAATAGCGAAAGATACCTTATGGAAACAAAGCAAAATATTAATAAATTGGAAAACGTCTTTAGAAGCAAAGAAAATAGCATGAAGTTGCTATTGTAATTATCAATATTTCTCCTATATGATACAAGTCCAGACTTTTACTGCTAAGACTCGCCATACCATGTAAACATGGTTGAATCATCCCCATTTCCTTTGTATTCCATTGGTGAGGAGGAAGTTCCTCTCAGACAGCTTCTTCCCGAGAACCGCTACTTTGTAGAACAGACTCCCAAGAGGATGCTTCCTTGATTACTATTATCCCCAATCCCTTTGTATTCCATTGGTAAGGAGGAAGTTCTTCTCGGACAGCTTCTTCCCAAGAACTGCTTCTTTGTAGAACAGACTCCAGAAAGGATGCTTCCCATACTACTACAATCCTAATCTCTTCAAGTCCAGAGTCCACAGTTATCTATCCTACATATCCTCATAACCTACAGTTCTTATGTTCATAAAACAACCTATAATAATAAAAATAATAGCTACATTCTTTAGTTCTCAAGTCCAGTAGCTGTTATTGCTCTTTCCAGAACTGATGGGAGTTTCCTTCCTAACATTTTCTATAAAGTTGTGTGGAACGTCAATATTTTGGTTATGTTACTGCATGTTTTATTGAAAATAGAATAAATTATTTTAAAGGTGTCTCTCTTAAGCCTCAGTACAGCAAGGTACCATGGGTTTTCAAGCTTCCCATTTGAAATATAGATATATCATTGACTTTTAATTTTCTTATTATATATTGTCTTGAGTGTTCTTTTTTATTTTTTAGGTTGTACGAGTGGGGTAATGGATAATGGTTCAGAATTGGAGATCAGAGTGTCAAGTTCCAATTCTAGTCGGGTTCGTTATGTGCGAATACCCTTAGGAAAGGCATGAATCCACCTCTTCTCCCTTCAGCTATAGGTTAATTAGTAAGACTTTTATCAATAAATCATTATCTCCCAAAATATTTCTTATCATCTAAAAATATTTTCTGGCTTAACCTTTAGCACTCTGCCTTATTAATTTTACTTCCCTTCACACTGCATTCTTTGTCAAGGTCTCTAAATTGCAATATCCTTATTGTTAATTTCACTCCAAGTTGTTTTCTGTTGCTATAGCAGGATATGACGATAACACAGCTATGAAATTCAAACACACTATTGTTCAGGAATCAGTCACCTTCAGTAGCAGGATAAACCTTTGTGCAGCAAACGAAGTCGCATACAGAATAATAAAGGTTAAATAACCTGCAAAAGGTTGATAAGCCATAAAAAAAAACAATTATTATGAATTGTCTGGCTAAAAAATACTTTTTTCAAACTCATCAAATAATTGCTGCTTGTTTAATTGCTTCTGTGATTGTCCCCACCACCACCACCAATCAATTTGTCATCCATAAAAGAAATTTTTTTATTCACAATAGAAGCCTTATTTTTTCTTTATATTTTTAATTACTAGAATCGTAAATAGTTCAAAAGCTTTGCAAAGTGCTATCTTGATTTGTAATAATCAAAATAACATATCTCTTTACAACCCAGAGTTCAAAAACATTTACAATTGCTTGTAGGCAAATAATGATTTACCACCCCTACAAGCCCTTGCTCAGATGCAACATTGCAAGCCTCCCGCTACTCTATTGCTATTTCAATTGAAAATGTTCTGATTAGCTACATTCATTAGTTCCACCAGTTCAGAACGTTTACCATGCCACATACACAGGGTTGAATCGTCCATGTTCCTCTTGTATTGGTAAGAAGGAAGTTCCATTTGGACAGCTTCTACTTCCTCTCTGAATTTTTGAGATGAGGAGTTATCATTATTTAACACTATTTATATTCTGACTATTATCTTTGTTGTTGTTATCACAATACTTCGGCTGTTGTGCTCTTCAGAGACTTCCTCAGTTGTATATCGATCTGAGTAATCTACATGGAATTCTGAACTGAACCCTTTATTTAATCTACAGGGATAGATTGTCCTTGTTCCACTGCCCATGTAAAAGCTATTCTCAGTGGAGCGAGAACAGCTTCTACTTTGTGGAAGAGACTCCCAAGAGGATGCTTCCCCAATCACTACAATCTTCTTAATTTCATCAACTGTTATATTTCCTATATACCCTTATAAATTGCACTTCTTACCTCTTCTTACACCCATACAACGTCATTCAGTAACCTTCTACCTTGATTGGCTCTTGGGCCTTGTATTGAGTGAAAATTTAGTAAAAAAGACAAAAATAGAATGACAGCAAATGCGGGGCAATCTCCCCACAGATGAAGTGACTTGGAGTGATAGAAATGCGGACAAATGCTAAGAATATAGGCAGGACATGTAAGTAATGAGGAAGTTTTAAGGAAAATAGGTACTAAAAGGTGTCCTATTCTTTTGTTGTAAGGACTAGGCTTAATAAGGATATGTATACTTACAATCAGAATGAGACAGATTTTCTGGGAAAAATAATGAGGAAAGGAGGCTTGAAGATTTAACACTCACGGCCATGTGGCAGATGAAAACAACAAATAACCTACTTGATGAGTTTGAGATGGCAGTGCAAGGACAAATAGGGGTAGTAAAGATGCAAAGCAAGACTAACAGTTCATTGTTTTTTTATCCCATGACCCGTAGGGCCATAAGGGACATCATATGTACTGAAGCTACAGTAGAAGTGGTGTTTCCTGGGCAAGATAGCCTGACAAATCCCAACCCTCTCCAGACCGGTTTGAAATTCAGAGTTTTTCCTTCTCCTAGACCGGTTGACAACCAAGGTTATAAAATCCAGTCTGTCCTACTTTATTAACCCATAGCTGGGGGAGAGAAGAAGAGGATTCATACCTTTTCCAAGGCTATTAGCATGTAAGTGAATGTAATGGATTCGACTGGAATTCGAACTTGGCTCTCCAATTCCTCAATCCAAGCTACTATCCATTACTCCACCATGCCTCCCTTGCAGTTAATTTAGAGAGCAACAAGGAAATTGTGGAGAACCATGATCTCTAGGACATAACATATAAAAAAGAAGTGATTTCGATCCTCATTAGGACCCCCATACTTATGTCTTTGTAAAAAAAATAATTTATGCAAGACACATCATTGTGATTAACTAACTAGTCTTTCAAAATCTGTCTATATTTCTTAGATGAGGTATTATGTACACTATTTACATTATTTGGACTATTGTCCTCATCTTTATTGCCATATTTATTACGTTTCGGCCCTTCAGTATCTGTCTATGTTTCTGAGATGAGGTATTATGTACTCTATTTACATTATTCGGACTATTGTCCTCGTCTTTGTCGCCATATTTATTACAATGTTTCAGCCGTTGTACGCTCTGGCCTTCTTCAGGTGGTTGGAATGTTGAACTGAACCCTTTATTTCGCTTACAGGGGTAGACTGTCCTAGTTCCATGTGCCATGTCTAATGGATGTCAGTTATCTCCTGTTATCTCAAGGACACATGGCACAGTGAATAAAGGTGTTGGTTAGATCCAGTGACAGGACCCAAATACCTGAGTTCAATACCTGGTTAAGGTGATTGAGAACTTGGAGAGGGGAATTAACGTTGTAATACATATGGCGACAAAGATGAGGACAGAAGTCTGAATAATGTAAATAGTGTAGTCTTTCAAGCCATTAATTTAAGTTTGATCCTTGCTAAGTTCCTTATACTTGTAACAAAAAAACTAACCAAATCACAGAAACCACATCACTTGAGGACTACCAACAGCAGCAACAGCTAAAATGGATAGCACATATAACTCTAATAGAAAATAACTACATCATCAAAATTAGGTTCGCTATCGTCCAGTTCACACTCTTTCCTGGTCTTTTGAACAGGAGTAGAGGTTTATCCCTTGTTTCCTGTTTAGGATTGGGTTTCCATTTCCTTCTAAAGTCTGCTTCAGCTCTATACTTCTAACTTCTGCACCTGAACTCTGAAATTTTAATCACTATTTCATTTTTTTCTCTCTATTCCACCAATAAGAGTAGATAGGTCCACTTACATTCCTCTCCGGTCTTTTGATCAGGAGTAAAGGTTTATCCCTTGCTTCCTGTTTAGGATCGCGTTTCCGGTTCCTTCTAAAGAAAGTCTGCTTCAACCCTGTATTCCTAACGTCTGCGCCTGAACTCTGAAATTTTATTAACTATTTAACTCCATACAGTAACCCTCTACCTTGAGTGGCTCTTGGCTCTTGTATTGGCGGAACATTAGTTTAAAAAAACAAAAACAAAAAAAAACAAACAAATCACAATTACTGGAAAGAGAGATAAAACAGCTACTACTTGAGAAACTTGTTTTCCTAAAGAAATTGTTTTTTAGATAAAGATTTTATAAATTTTAACCGGAAGCAGTACTGGCTGTTCGTTCATTGAAATGCCAAATGTTTCCTTATAGGGAAACGGTTAAAGCTATGCTAAACAAACGTGCACTAAAATTCCCAGCAAAGTCTAGTCGTGGCTTATCTGGTAAAAAAGACGTTTTGTTTGTTTGTTTTTTATAATTTGGTTTCGGGTTTTTTAAATAAGTAAAGACAGATGTTAAAAAAAAAAAGATGTCATATTTTTTATAAGCATTTTAGTTTAAAATTAACGTTTCTGACATTTTTTATTTCACTGTCACTCCCTTGGTTAATAATCCAATGAACAATGGGAAAAATAAAATCGGCGGCAACAAAATTTCGCCGTGGCTCATTTGAAAAAGACATTGGTTTGTTAGTAAGAACCGAAATAACGTGTTCGAACACTAACAGAATCTTCTGAAGATATAACACGACGTAATTCGGTCAATGTCGAATTAAATCTACGAAATTCAAAAGGCAAAAAAAGCATCAAACGGAGTCTCACTGATAAGTTTTAAAATCTTATGGGAGAAAAATAGGAGTGACTGGCTTGGTAAAAAGAATGATGATTATTTATTTATTGACAATTGAAAATGTTTTAAAACCCTGTTAATAATATGTTATGTTATTAATTGTAATCAGTGTTTTTTTTAACAGACTACTGTTTTCTTCATAGTACGGAGTAAAAAATTGTTAAAAAGACAAGTTTTTTTGGTTAAGTAGTTTTTTAACATTGAGAATCAGGTCATAAAAAAGTGAACAAAAATATCTGTTCACTGAAAAAAGATTTTTTTCTTAAATCTTCAATGTTTAAAAATAAAATATCAGGTATTATTCCTTGTCAAACTAAATCTAAAAACAGCAAAATATATATTAAAAAAAAAAAATAAAACTACTTTCTACACAGGATATTAAAAAAACCTAGACAGAGAATAAGATTTTACAAGTCTAGTGAAAAAAAAAAAAAAGTGGTCTATGTTTAGCAAGCAAGCTTGTCTCGCTAAAAAAATCAATTACGACTGATGAATAGTGAGTTCGATCCTCACTGGGTGCCCCATAATATCGGCCTTGTGCCAACATCCAAAAATCTAAGTTTAGAAAATCACCATAAAATTGTTTTTTTTTTTTTTGCTCAAACGGCGCAACTGAAACGGATTTAAAAATCCAACAGTTTTTAAAGGAAATGAATTGCAGGTGGTTGCACTATAGCTCATTCCATCCATAAAAGAGATCGCTCTTTTTAAATTAACTCGTCGGCGGTGATTTAAACTTCGAGAATGAACAGTAACCAAAATTCTGGATTTTTTTTTTCGTTCCCATATGCCTCAGTTAGTCTTCTTGTGTAATAATAATAGTAAAAATCATCAATTTATGTAAGAAGGCGGATGGAATGTTTTGTTTTGCTTTTAGTTGGGGAAAGAAAAAAAAAAGTAGCGCTTATACTTTCGCACTCCAATGACACTGTCAACTACACGATGTTTTTTGTCTTCAGTTCTTTTTTAGTTTAAAAAACAAATATAAATAGATTTCCCTTTTTTCTTAATATTTGTTTCATAATTTGAAGATTTTAAATTTAAATAATACATTTAATTTCTTTATCTTTTTGTTTGACTTACTTTTTAGAAACTTTTGACGGCAGAAACACATATGATTTATTTTATTTTTAACTACACAGAAAGCTTTTTAAAACCATTGCTAGTGTTTGTAAATTAAATTTAATTATTAATAATTGCAACAGTCCAACTGTTGTTATTTTAAATGAATTTTATGAAGTTAAACTAAAAAAAAAAAAAAAAAAAAAAACAGTTTTAAAAATAAGTTTCCTTTCATTTTATAAATTTATCTAGGTGTGTTTTTTTTTTTTTTTACTCTTTTAGGGGGTGCGAAAGTGTAATAGCGTCAAGGAAACTAGATGACAAGAAGTTTTTATTTTATTCCATGAAAATAAAAAGTTAGTATTTCGCGCTGTGTTCATGTGGAATACCCTTCTTGTAATATTAAAATAAGCAAATAAAATATTAAATAAAAAAGCATTATTATACCAAAAAAAAGTGTAAAAAGTAAAAAAGAAACTTACCTTTTATGTTGTTTTCTCTGTTTTCGTTGTTTTTTTTGTGTTTGTAATTTAAAAGAATCCTCAGATGTTCGTACAAAAAAAAAAAAAAAGAAAACTAAAACTTCTGATATGGAATTATAGACTTTAACAAAAAGAAAGGAAATTAGCACAAAAAATCCTCACCACAGAGAAGTTGTGTGACAACTCCGTTGAGAGACAAGAAGAGTAAGACGTTAATGATGATGGTGATGAAAAGAATACAAAAAAGAAAAAAAAAGAAAGAAAAAGGAACTGATGTGCTAGTGTTTACTTTTCTTTTCTTTTCTTAAGCCTTTTCTCTCTCCTACACAACCAATGCTTGAGACTTCCTTCAGGCTGGACGATACCGTGTCTAAAGGAAAAAGAAAAGTACTAAGTAAAAGTACTACTTCTGCTGCAGTTGCGAAACTACTGATTTATCGCCTGGCCTACACTACCAAAAACAAAACAATACAATATAAACTTACATACTGTTGTGTTGTTGAACTGTTATTATTATTATTATTATTATTTTAACCGTTGACTTTTCGCTCTGACGGGAAAAGTGACAACAAGTCTTGGTACACTAATGACTTTTTAACCGAATCTTATTACCAGCCACAAATCGATCTCTTACAGAGTCTTATTGCCAGGAAAATCAATGATTTTCACAATAAATCAAGCGATCGTAAAAAGAAAAAAAAATCTTGCCTGTAGTGTAGTGCACATTCATTTTGATCTGTTATTCTTTTTATTTTTTTTAGTAATAGTTTTGTCTGGATTGTTTTGAATTAAAAAAAAAAAAACCCAAAAAACCGTCCTTCAGTTACTAATTCTTCATACTTCGTGAAAAGGCCTTGTTACTGCGTCGCGACCGCAGTTTACCGGGCACGCATCGGAAACCCTAACAATTGAATTAAATTTCTGAAACAACAACAGAATTAATATCATGCTCGAATGAAATAAAAATAAAAATAAAAATCTAACCCTGCCATAATTTTTATTATTAAATTCTTTCTTTTTAAATAAAAGAAGAAAAAGTTAGTTACTACGTAAGCGGGCGATAAATCGCCACTGATTTCCCTTAGTGTGCCCGGTAAACGGTAGTTGAGCCTTTTTACTGTTACTATTATTACTACTACTTTTTAACTTTATTCATTGAGAGTTTCCTGTAACTGGTGACCGATACTGGAGAAGAAATAAAGTCTCCTGATTTTTATAGTGTTTCAGCTGTTTTCAGTAATACTGTCCACTCGATCGGTACTTCTCAAACTATCTGATGTGGCGTACCGGTGGGTTTTTTTTCAACGAGCAAAGGACCAGTGATAAAAGCTTCCAATCGAGTTGAAGGGAGTTGCGTTTGTTTGTTTCATTCATTCATTCTTTGTTTCTTTCTTTGTTTGTTTCTTACTTTCTTTCTTTCTTTATTATTATTATCTGTACTAAGAATGGAAATATGATATCTTATTTAATAATCCTAAGGCCAGTCATCATTGACCTAAGAAGATTTCCAAGTGTTCCAGGAACCGGTACAATATTTGAACATTCGTACTACAGTGTAACCCGGATATAAGAGAGTTGTCGGGACCGGAGAAGAAGTTTTTTATATCCGGGTTTCTCTTATATCCGGGTTTGGTCTATTTTGTTTAGGTAAGTATGGGAACACTTTGGGACCAGAGAAAATCTCTCTTATAACCGGGTTTCTCTTATATCCGGGTCTCTTATATCCGGGTTACACTGTATTATTCCTTTATACCAGAAAAATATCATGATACCATCCTCGTGTAATGCGCAATATTCATTTTAAATACAGCTGTACTTTTTGACTACAGTAAAAATATAGTTTGGTCAACGGCGTAGCCAGGGTCAGCAGTACATATGCTGATTTTATATCTCATGTATGATGTGACCCCCTTAAAATTAGGTTCAAAATTAGGTCTTCACAAGGTCGCATGATACGCGAGTATACATGATAAATAAAACTTTGGTTTTTATTTTATATTGATTTTTTTTGTTGTAGAAATAATATATGTCCATGAAAATGACCTTTTAATATTCCTAGGTGTGTTCAGGGCCGGTGCGTACTACCACTGACACCCACCCCACACCCGACCGGGGGAGGGGACAAGCCAGACTGGAGGAACCGGGCAGTGCTTTTTGACTCTCGCTATCTTATCAACATGTCCGCGTATATGAAACATAGACCTCATTAAAAAGTCAATGTAACATACAACATACATATATAAAATAAAAATTTCAAATAAAACACAAAAGTCTTCGTATAACAACACGTGTGTGTGTGTATATATATATATATATATATATTCAGAATTCTTTATACGAAGTTAGTGCGTGTCTACTTTTAAAAGACTATGTACCAAAACAATATGAGTTTTTGTACTTATCTGTTTGTTTTGTCACGAGCCTGAATGCCTGCGTCTTGTTACCATAACTTCCAAGAGCAAAAGAGAGACATTGACTTTCCCGCCTAACGAGGTTTCGTGTGGGACTGTTTTTTATTCTCGTGAATATTTATAATTAATTTTTATAATTATTTTTGTTTGGACAAGGGGAGATAACATTTTGTCAAACCTCCCCAATATATAAACGTACAGACACACACACACACACAACCTGGGTTTTATAATAAGTATGATTGTCTTCTCCATATAAGAACAAAAAAAATCTTGTTTTGGTAACCTTACACGAGGTTTTAATTCCTGGGTATGATACTGCATGAATACTATCGAAAATAAATTTTAGTATTTTACCAGGTATATATGATCTGGGAATACCAGTAGCATTATCACAGTATATGGAACTATTATTATCATACTTGTTATAAAACCCAGGTTGTGTGTGTGTGTGTGTGTCTGTTCGTTTATATATTGGATCGTATTTCCTACATTTTTCAACCGATTTCAACAAAACTTCACAGGACTACGTAAAATTACCTTGCGTTGGTTCTGACAGCGCCAAAAATTGGAAAAATACAATTGTTTTTGCACGAAATCAATTTGAAAACACGATTATGGCATCGCTATCGCGAGAATGAAAGGGGGGCAACTCATATCGAGTTATACATAAAACCCAGGTTTGTTGTGTGTATTCGTTTATATATGGGATTGGATTTTCATCATTTTTCAACCGATTTCAACAAAACCACTTTTTTTTTTGGCAGGTAGTGTTTCTTATTGAAAACAATGTTTTTGTTTGGGTTTGACCAATTCGTAAAAAAAAAATATAATTAAGACATGCATGTCCGTCAACCTTAAACAATAATCTTTCTCAATTTTATTTTCAGTCTTTATGATGGTCGATACTTGATCTATCTCTTACTGTTACATCCCCGAGCAACGCCGGTCTCTACTGCTAGTCGCTACTAAAATTGTATTTTTTTTTTAATCTGTAAATTTTTTAACTCAGGATCCTTAATTTGTGCAGTAACGATAGCTGGCAAGTCATACAGATCTAACATAACAGTTCGATTAGGTATAAACAAGAATCAGCTATCACGTTTTTATCTCCCTTTATTTGGCCTATATCTGATATTCTTTGAGAATTGCTAATTGCTGCTGTTGTCTATGTGACTTAGCAAGGTTTAGACTACGGAATTCGACGCACAACAGTTAATAATAAAAAATGTTTTTCTAGATAATATGTTTAAAATATAATGTAGCTGAATAGGCCGCAAAAAGTTTCTTATCGAAAGTCGAATGCCTCATTTGAATTTTAGTTAGAGAAGAAACCTATTTGAATTGGTACTCCTTCTACTGTTTGATGTAGGGCTGCACCAATTACATAATTACTGCTATCAGTAATCAACTGATATTCAATATAGTCAGACCGCTTTTAATATTGTTAAGCGTTCTGACAGAGGACGGTAAATGCGACACTGAGATCCGTAGACATATTGGGATGACAAAAGACGCATTCCAAAAGCTGGGAAGAGTATTGCGAGACAGGAGGATTTCTTTGGTAACCGTTACGTGACATCTATCCTTCTTTACGGCAGCGAGTGTGGGACGATTTCCTCAAAGATGAAGAAGAGACTCTAGGCAACGGAGATGTGGTTCTACAGAAGGACGATAACGATATCTTGGACCAAGCTTGTGAGCAACGATGAGGTCTTAGAGAGGATGCAAACAAGAAGGAGGCTTATAATTAACATCAAGAAGAGGCAGCTGAAGTTCCTGGGACACATAATGAGGAAGTAAAGCCTGGAGAATCTGATACTCACGAGTCGAAGGGCGGGAAAGATAGACAAGGGAAAACAATGCGTGACATACCTAGCGGCCTTAAGCAAGTGGATGACAGAACGAGGTCTGGGGGTGGTGGCAGAGAGCAGGAAATGTTGAGAGTAGCAAGGAATAGAGGGAAGTGGAGAACCATGACCGTATACGCCAAGAAAGGACACGGCACATAGAATTGCAATCATTTCTTTATTTCTAAGTAATTTAATGTTAATGTAGTATTACTGCATATACGTATTTTTCTGTTAATGGTATGACCGTGTCTGCAAAGTTTGGGATTAATTTCCTTTACAAATTTACTATGCCTAAGAAGCGACGAAGATTCTTATTGTCCTTAGGAGAGGAAAAATTCTGTAATGCACTAATTATTAGTGACTAATATTATTTTGTGTAGGTCTAATACCGTCAGAGCTAATATTATAACCCAAAAAATCGACTGAAGTTAAATCAAATGTTGACTTTGCTATTGAAATTTTTAAATAATTATCATATAGGATTTTTAAAGCAGTTTCAACGTCTTTTATGTGTGCAGAAGAATCATCACTGAAAATAAGAATGTCATCATTGTATGTAAATACAGATGTTGAAAAGTATTGTCCATGTATCTTTCAAAAGTGGATGCTGCATTCTTTAGTCCAAATTTTTTTTTTTTTAAGCATTTCACCCCAAGCAAGGCGGGGAGCCACTAGGACGCAAGGGGTTAATATGGCATGTATTTATATTAGTGCAATCTGAGAGAAGAACTGCTGTTCGTTTATATTAGTACCTCTCAACCTTTTTCAGCCCATGGACCTTTTTTTTTTTCAAAAACTTCAAATAGACAACTCCTACTTTTATTTTTAGGCTATTCAATTCTCACACTAAAATACTCAATGAAAAAACAAAGTAGTCTATTTAGACTTTAAAATTTAATTTCGTAAACAAAGATAAACACAGGATATCAAAATCAATTTTGATGATGTTGTAGCGATTGTTTATATACACCACGCCCACAAAATACTCAATAACCATTTGATAGAAAATAAGCACTATTTTCTATAGGACAATTTATGCATCGCATGAGCCACATCAAATTTTCTGATGTTTACTTTGCCAAACCTGGTTTAGAAAAAAATCAGTGATTGGTTGATTTTTGACCAATAATATAACACTCATTTCAATATTTTTCCCGCTCTCGTTCATGGAGCCTATTCAGAAAGTATAAATAACACGAAAATCAACGAAAAGAACAGTAGTAGAACAGTAAATCTCCAGAGCTCAACCACGTACGTGAATTCTCATTCTTCCACTCACACACACAGACACAAAATTACAATTGCACTACGCTGTGAACTGTCTGTCTAAAAAGCCAAGTAACCAACTCAGAATTCTAACATTCTTTTGTACAATTTTCTCATACTTAAACTCAGTTATCATATATTGCTGAACTCTGAACATTTTAAACAAGAAAGTTCTTTTAACACATATTTACAATCTCACATCAGTACAAGGGGAACTACTTCCTCTTTCTTAACTTTGTTTCACCAAACACAATTGTTGTACTCGCTTGTTTTTCAATACATGTTATTGTTGATTACTGAATAATCTCTTGTTATTCCTTCTTTGTGTTTCTTTGTCAAATTTAAATGTGATGTGCTAATCAAAAACGCAACCTTCACCAAAGCCTTCTTAACAATTTTATAACAAATCTCATTAGCACACCACAAAGGCGTTCAGTCTTAGTTCATTCAGCTAGTGACTATTTAGTAACCCTCATTTCAATTTTAAACATTTTCTTGAATTTCATTGGTTGTTAAATATAAAATAAGCTTCGAGAAATTTCCATAACAAAACAATCAAATTTTGTGGAAAAATAGGCTCAGCCGACGTAAAAAAAAAATCTTTCTCAAATTCATCCCTAATTTAAATGTCTCAAGAAATCCTATTGGCTAAAAAATAAAAAAAATATAACATTCTCCCACGTATTTTTCAGAAAAATTCGCAACAGCTACCCAGCCCTGTTGAGCCGATTTGGTTATTAAAAAAAATATAAATAGAAACGGTGAACGAATTTTCGTCGCATTTGAGATTCCCACACGCGAAAGATATACGCGGGAATTATTGCTTCAGAGAGATACCAAAGAATAAAATTTTCTTTATGAGAGATTAGAAAAATTTAAATTTTTCACTCAATATCTTTCATAGAAAAAACTTTTGTATAATTTAAATTCAACCTTTTTATTCAAAGGCAAACAACTTTATCGACATTGAACATTTCCGAAACAGCAAAGAACTTTTTCTCTTAAATATACTTTTGCATACATCATTACAAAGAAATTGTAAATTGTGTATATAAAATTTAATTTGTTATTTCAAACATGTATTTTTGTCGTGATTGAATATCGTTACCATTTGGCCATTTCTTATACTTTATGTTTGTGGATATTGCATATTTTATTTGCAGCACATTTTAAATATTCACGCAGCCTTCCTAGATCCACTACAACTATCTTGATCTTGATATTTCTGACACAAGATATTAATCATTTTTCATGGCGTCATTCAGTCTTAGTCTGATAGTTCCTCTACTGTTGAGATCTTAATTTATTTCTTTTTCTACTGAAAACATTCACAACAATTGAAAATCCAGATTCCACCATCCATGTGTTAGGGAAAGAAATGATGCTTGCTTCTACATGTTGAAAAATATTTGGGCGTGAGTCCTTTTATCGATATGTAGGCAAAGACACCTTCTTTGTCAACTCAGTTTCGCATTCTCTTTCAAGTCCAGAAGCATTTCAGCCAACTCAACATTTTCATCACCTGGCTCATAATTTTCTAGGTCTAATAAATATGATAAAAAATAAAATAAATATAACACTATACAAAGCCTATGTAATTTCGAAATTTTCAAATATAATAAACTTAAACATGTACGTAATTAAACAAAAGATATTTTTTAATTCTTCAAAATATAAATAATTTAGATACATTTTTTTAAAAAATGGCTACAATTTTTTTATGGCTACGAATTCTCTGTGGACCACTAGAAATGCGATGCGGAGCACTGGTGGACAGACCACCTGGACCATGTTGAGAATCACTGGTTTATATCATCCTATATTTTGATTTGATGGTATGCTGATACCAGGTCGATTTTTCTAAATCTTGTTTTTCCAACTAGTTTATCGGCAATTAAATTAATAATCAGGATGGGGAATTTATCATTTTTTGTAATGCTGTTTAATACGCGGTAATCACCAGAGAATCTGAAATTTCCACCTTTTTTTTAACAACGTGTAGGGGGCTAGACCATTTATTACCAGAAGGTGTAATGACGCCATTATTTTGCCATTTTGAAAATTCCATTTTTACTGCTTGCGTTTTCTCTTCTAATAAACGTCTAGCCTTGGCAAAAGTAGAAGCATGACTGCCTGCATCAATTCTATGGTATACTCCAGCATATGTGCTTGCTGGATTGATATGTCAGAGTTAGCCCCTTCTTAATTCCCAAATTGTCACTAGGTGTCATTCTCCCTATACTATAAATACTGGGCGACTTCTCGCTTCGTTCTCTTTTTCATTTCTTCATTTCAGCGACTACAATGTAAGCTCTCTTAGAAGATCCGCATCTTCCCATTTGTGGGAAACTCCATGAACATTATACAGATATACACGTACGTACAAACATTCACCAAAGAACAGACACAAACGTTCACACACACACACACACAAATATTATTGTCTATGTCCATTGTAAAATTGTTTTGTTTAATACACACACACACATATACAGTGTAACCTGGATATAAGAGAGATTTTCTCTGGTCCCAAATTAGAGCCTGTGTTAATGTATATAAAATAGACAAAACCCGGATATAAGAGAAACCCGGATATAAGAGACTTCTTCTCCGGTCCCGACAACTCTCTTATATCCGGGTTACACTATATATATATATATATATATATATATATATATATATGTTTTTGTTTGTCTTCTTTATCTTCAGTTGGACTTGACTTAAGTCCGGCCATTTTCTCGTAGTTGGACATTTTAATATTCTACCAGGAGTTACACACGTGTTTCTAATACTATAACACGCAAACACACACGGTACTCTACATATATGTAGTGATATAATGTTTGGATATATATTTTTATAAAGATTTTAATGAGCATCCGTATTATTATTATTATTTACGACTAAGTTGATAGAGTCGTTGAAAGTTTTTTTTAGTTTCTTTGAACAAGATGCTTTGAGATGGACGATCGTTCTTTGGCAATCTATTAATAAACATAAATTGTTTAGGAAGTCGAATCCTAGTTGGAAATATTGAATGTCCGCTACTACGAACGTCCAGAGAGAAGATCGTCGAAAGGTCGGTAGGCTTATTTCGGCTTTAATTTGCCCGTCGCAAAGTATGTCCAAGCCTATAGCGATAGTTAGAGAAACTGATTTCCCCGCTTCGTTTGGACGCGAACTTGGCTATTGTAATTTTTTTTTTTTTTTTTTTTTTTTTTACGGCCATTTTCACCAGTGTGTGCATGAACGCGCTGCGTTCGCATAATAAATGTGCCCTCTACATATTTTTGTAATTGTCTCCCTTTTTGGAAAGGTTTCGAGATCGTAAAGTATTGCTGAGGTTTTAGTAGGCACTTCTTTCGTCTGAATTTCATTACACGTGCTTATTTTAGCAGTACCTTGTATTAAAGTCATTTAATTCATCATCAACACCATTAAGAAGTGAATGAAACACACGACAACATTAATATATGAAAAGTTCAAATAAAACACAAAGGACTTCATGTAAACAACTTGCATATATATATATATATATATATATATATATATATATATATATATATATTAAAAATTCCTAATAGAAAGTTAGCAAAAGACTAAAAAACAACATGAATTTTTGTACTTATCTGTTTGGTTTGTTACCGTAACTTCCAGGAGCAAAAGAGATAGATTGACTTTCTCACCTAACGATGTCACGTGCGGGTTTCGTCAGGTCATGTTAATATTTATGATTAATTATTATTTTTGTTTGGTTAAGGGGAGATAACTTTTGTCTACCACTACAAACATTTGCTTTTTTTCTACCTACATTTATATACGTTACAAATTAAATTAAGTACAACTATCAATTTATTAAAGAATAAAAAATTTTCATGGATTTTGATGTCACTCTGGGATCTTTTTTGCTTTTGTTCAAATCTGTGAAATTGTTTTGCTCTTGCTAAGTCTTGAAAAAACACTATATAAAATTCACTATTTTTTATCCATAATGTTGAATATGGCAATGAAAATTATTGAACTTTTTAACAAGAAAAACTCGAAGTTGATATTAAAAATTGTTGCAAAACATTGTTGATTTATTTATGGAACAATCTATTATGACATATCTCTAATTTGTATTTAGATATATTGTCATTGTATTTATTTTCAATTTTTCTAGTTGAATTGTTCACCTATATTTCATCTGATCCATTATTGTACATAATTAGGTTACAATAAGATTTGTATTCTATATGAATGCAACTTTAGGAAAATCGAAATCTGTGTTGTGGAGTGATTTCACAGTGGAGGCTTGTATTTGTACTAGGTCGGTCCTAAAATAGGTTCGACGTACAAAACGGTAGGAACTTGATATAATAGGTATAACGCAGAGTAATCTAGTTGTGGTCGCTGATAATTTAGTATTCGACTAACTGTCGTCCGACATCGACCGACCGACTCACTCACTCACTCACTCACCGACTCCCTCGTTACTCTTACTACTGCTACTTATTATAAGTGGGAGAGTCTATTAACTATAGAATAGGTGTGTTCCACTATAACAATCTGATAGAGTGAAGATCCATGTATAATAGACTAGCAGTATAACCTGTCTTTGACCGAGTCTTTCATTACTGGTAATTTTTGCCGTTCAGTTAGAACAGTTTAAGTTTAAAGTCAAATTAAATGCAAAAAGTGGATCACAGATCCTTGATATTTTTCTTGCTTCTCTTTTGTCAGTTAATATTAAAATCATGTTACCGCCTACATCTGTGCGGTTATCTGTTCAAGTTAGCAACAATGCCTACACGTTATTCAAAACCATTTTTTCTGCCAAATCAGAAATGCTCTCTGGAGCCTATCACGTGACTACGTTTATTATAAATACTCTGACACAAGTTCGTTCTTTCTCTTTTGGCCTCTCTTGTCGTCTCTGACATACAAGATGTAGTTACTAAAGAACTTGTGTTTCGTCCTTTATGGGCAAACGCCATCGTATACGTATGTACGTAACATTCAGATATACAAATTCACTCAAACCCACTTAGATTCAACAATTTCCAAGAATACAGAACATATTAAGTTTGAGAACAAGCATTACAAAAATTTTCTCACTCAAGCCGTTCACCCAACAAGTACCAAAAATTATTTCAACCCAACCAGTGAGATTTTCTTCAGCAACAAGCATAACTCTTGTTAATATTCACCAACAAGAAATATTACTTCAAAAACCTTCTGAAGCTACAAGTTTGTATCAAAGACATTTTCAGATTCCCAGAATTTCCTTCCATCAAATTTTCAACTTTGCAACTATTTCACAAAGATTAACATTTCTTGTTAAAACTAATCTTTTTATTCACAGACAAAATTCTTTTTCTATGAGCTCAGTTAAAAATATTACCTTCGTAAAGGACTTTAAGAAATTCAGATTAAAGGTACATAACTCCTCTTATTGATTAATCACACACTTAATTGTTTGTATGTCATTACAGTATATAAAATGAAGATTGTTATAAAAACAGTTTTGTTACTTCAACTCAACCCAGACCTCAAATGGAACTCGCACATATGATCAATCGGTAAAGATGCTAGAAAATGGTCGATCCCTGTCTTGCTCAAGTAAGTGTGATAATGTGCTAGTGAAACTAGGTATTATTTATTCAGAAACTTTGGACATAAAACGAACTGACTCAAGGGTATAAACAAATAATATTTATTTATTTGATTTAGATTAAAGTGAGTCTTTGGTATTTGGTGGAGCAAAAGTTTGTTTATAAGGCAGATATTGTTAGCAGTCAGGAAAAAGTAATGGGTAGTTTCAAAGTCAGAACTTGTAGTAATAGTAGTTATCTTAGAAATAGGTGGCAGCATCAATCTTCTGTTTTTCTTGGCCCTAAGAAGGACAGAAAATGTTTTAGGTAGATGATTTACTTCTTAACACGATATGCATGGCTATTTTCTCTGGTGGTCCCTTTTCTTGTTCAGATTTCTCTGGTGGCCTCTTCTCTTGTTCAAATTTCTCTGGCAGTCCCTTCTCATGTTCAGATTTCTCTGGTGGTCCCTTTCCTTGTTCAGATTTCTCTGGTGGTTCCTTTCCTTGTTCAGATTTCTCTGGCAGTCTCTTCTCTTGTTCAGATTTCTCTGGCAGTCCCTTCTCTTGTTCAGATTTCTAAGATGGTCTCTTCTCTTGTTCAGATTTTTCTGGCAGTCCCTTCTCTTGTTCAGATTTCTCTGGCAGTCCCTTCTCATGTTCAGATTTCTCTGGCAGTCCCTTTCCTTGTTCAGATTTCTCTGGTGGTCCCATCTCTTGTTCAGATTTCTCTGGCGGTCCCTTCTCATGTTCAGATTTCTTTGGCGGTCCCTTCTCTTGTTCAGATTTCTCTGGCAGTCCCTTCTCTTGTTCAGATTTCTAAGATGGTCCCTTCTCTTGTTCTGATTTTTCTGGCAGTCTCTTCTCTTGTTCTGATTTCTCTGGCAGTCCCTTCTCATGTTCAGATTTCTCTGGCAGTCCCTTTCCTTGTTCAGATTTCTCTGGTGGTCCCATCTCTTGTTCAGATTTCTCTGGCGGTCCCTTCTCATGTTCAGATTTCTCTGGCGGTCCCTTCTCTTGTTCAGATTTCTCTGGCAGTCCCTTCTCTTGTTCAGATTTCTAAGATGGTCCCTTCTCTTGTTCTGATTTTTCTGGCAGTCTCTTCTCTTGTTCTGATTTTTCTGGCAGTCTCTTCTCTTGTTCTGATTTCTCTGGCAGTCCCTTCTCTTGTTCAGATTTCTAAGATGGTCCCTTCTCTTGTTCTGATTTTTCTGGCAGTCTCTTCTCTTGTTCTGATTTCTCTGGCAGTCCCTTCTCGTGTTCCGATTTCTCTGGCAGTCCCTTCTCTTGTTCAGATTTCTAAGATGGTCCCTTCTCTTGTTCTGATTTTTCTGGCAGTCTCTTCTCTTGTTCTGATTTCTCTGGCAGTCCCTTCTCATGTTCCGATTTCTCTGGCAGTCCTTCTCTTGTTCAGATTTCTAAGATGGTCCCTTCTCTTGTTCTGATTTTCTGGCAGTCTCTTCTCTTGTTCTGATTTCTCTGGCAGTCCCTTCTCATGTTCCGATTTCTCTGGCAGTCCCTTCTCTTGTTCAGATTTCTAAGATGGTCCCTTCTCTTGTTCTGATTTTTCTGGCAGTCTCTTCTCTTGTTCTGATTTCTCTGGCAGTCCCTTCTCATGTTCCGATTTCTCTGGCAGTCCCTTCTCTTGTTCAGATTTCTAAGATGGTCCCTTCTCTTGTTCTGATTTTTCTGGCAGTCTCTTCTCTTGTTCTGATTTCTCTGGCAGTCCCTTTCCTTGTTCAGATTTCTCTGGTGGTCCCATCTCTTGTTCAGATTTCTCTGGCGGTCCCTTCTCATGTTCAGATTTCTCTGGCAGTCCCTTCTCTTGTTCAGATTTCTCTGGCAGTCCTTCTCTTGTTCAGATTTCTAAGATGGTCCCTTCTCTTGTTCTGATTTTTCTGGCAGTCTCTTCTCTTGTTCTGATTTCTCTGGCAGTCCCTTCTCATGTTCCGATTTCTCTGGCAGTCCCTTCTCTTGTTCAGATTTCTAAGATGGTCCCTTCTCTTGTTCTGATTTTTCTGGCAGTCCCTTTCCTTGTTCAGATTTCTCTGGTGGTCCCATCTCTTGTTCAGATTTCTCTGGCGGTCCCTTCTCATGTTCAGATTTCTCTGGCAGTCCCTTCTCTTGTTCAGATTTCTCTGGCAGTCCCTTCTCTTGTTCAGATTTCTAAGATGGTCCCTTCTCTTGTTCTGATTTTTCTGGCAGTCTCTTCTCTTGTTCTGATTTCTCTGGCAGTCCCTTCTCATGTTCCGATTTCTCTGGCAGTCCCTTCTCTTGTTCAGATTTCTAAGATGGTCCCTTCTCTTGTTCTGATTTTTCTGGCAGTCTCTTCTCTTGTTCTGATTTCTCTGGCAGTCCCTTCTCATGTTCCGATTTCTCTGGCAGTCCCTTCTCTTGTTCAGATTTCTAAGATGGTCCCTTCTCTTGTTCTGATTTTTCTGGCAGTCTCTTCTCTTGTTCTGATTTCTCTGGCAGTCCCTTCTCATGTTCCGATTTCTCTGGCAGTCCCTTCTCTTGTTCAGATTTCTAAGATGGTCCCTTCTCTTGTTCTGATTTTTCTGGCAGTCTCTTCTCTTGTTCTGATTTCTCTGGCAGTCCCTTCTCATGTTCCGATTTCTCTGGCAGTCCCTTCTCTTGTTCAGATTTCTAAGATGGTCCCTTCTCTTGTTCTGATTTTTCTGGCAGTCTCTTCTCTTGTTCTGATTTCTCTGGCAGTCCTTCTCATGTTCAGATTTCTCTGGTGGTCCCTTCTCTTGTTCAGATTTCTAAGATGGTCCCTTCTCTTGTTCTGATTTTTCTGGCAGTCCTTCTCTTGTTCTGATTTCTCTGGCAGTCCCTTTCCTTGTTCAGATTTCTCTGGTGGTCCCATCTCTTGTTCAGATTTCTCTGGCGGTCCCTTCTCATGTTCAGATTTCTCTGGCAGTCCCTTCTCTTGTTCAGATTTCTCTGGCAGTCCTTCTCTTGTTCAGATTTCTAAGATGGTCCCTTCTCTTGTTCTGATTTTTCTGGCAGTCTCTTCTCTTGTTCTGATTTCTCTGGCAGTCCCTTCTCATGTTCCGATTTCTCTGGCAGTCCCTTCTCTTGTTCAGATTTCTAAGATGGTCCCTTCTCTTGTTCTGATTTTTCTGGCAGTCTCTTCTCTTGTTCAGATTTCTCTGGCGGTCCCTTCTCATGTTCCGATTTCTCTGGCAGTCCCTTCTCTTGTTCAGATTTCTCTGGTGGTCCTACTAATACCATTGGATTAGGTGTGAAATGGCCAACGTGTTAAAATTTCACAAAATTTTGGCAGTTTGATCACCAAAATCAAGGTAAAACGTGTGAAAAAGAGGTGTAATTATTAAAACAAATTAAGACCCATTTGATGGTCGCTTTTTGTTCTGTCTATCATGAAGAAGATGGCCCAAAAATTGGTAAAGTAGGGTGGAATTTCTAAAAAAGTAAGTAATATTGAGGGTACAAGAGCATATCACAGAATTTCTGCAGGTTACCACAAGTCATTTATTAATTTGCTTTTCATTTCCGTAGTTTGCAGATGACACAGTGTTGCTAGCAGACACAGAAAGGAAACTACAATAATGCCTACAGAAAGTAGTTGTTATATTCTGTGATAATTGGAATATATACTTGAAAAACACGGTAGATAAAATAAGTAAAGGTTTATTGTAATAAACCAGTACAATAAGAATAAAGGTAACAGTTATGCACAAGGTCGTCGCAAGTCAATCCAATAGTAAGTGCTACTATTGGAAAATCAGTAGTTCTTGCATAAGTCTGAATTGTACTTAACAGATCCCATCTAGTCAATATTTACTAGCCCCCCCCACGAGAGTAGATGTGGCACAAGGCCAAGTTTAACATGGGTTATCCAAGCCCATAGGCTTAGCCAAAAATTCCTTGTAGAACCTGCATAACAAGTTTGGGTCTGTCTACCTCCCCAGACGAGACTCTGCCCTTCAGCATAGCCTCGTCTGGGTTCCTCTCTGCCCGAAGGCAGAGAGTTTGACAGCACAGCTGGAACAGATCCCAGCTAATATATTTGGCTACCCCCCCTCCACGAGGATTGCATGTGACACAAGGCCGGTTTAGTGTGGGTTGTCCGAGCCCATAGGCTCAGCCAAAAATATTCCCTTTTGAACCCATGTAAACGGGTTCAGGGGCAGTCTACCTCCCCAAACGAGACTCTGCCCTTCAGCAGAGCCTCGTCCGGGTTCCTCTCTGCTCAGAGGCAGAGAGTTCGACTGTTTAGCTGGAACAGGTCACAGCTAGTCTCTGTAGTGAATGCTGGACAATCTCCTCACAGATGAAGAAGAGACTTGAAGCAAGAGAAACAAAGAAAAGAGTACTCAACTGTTATGTAATATCAGTCCTCCTATATGGCAGTGAATGCTGGACAATCTCCTCACAGATGAAGATACTTGAAGCAACATGATCAATATTTTTTTTTTTTTGAGTTTATTAAACATCTCTAAGAACATAGCAGAAGCAACAGATGTGGTAGCAATATTCAATGCATAAAGAAATGATAGACTTATTAACATGTAAGATAGATTCTGGCAAGAAAAATTGTCTAGCACAACATAGCGAACCGACTTTTCTAGCACAATACCTAGCAATTGATTCTATATAGTCTTTGACTCCATGTCAGCTGAAAACCTTAGCCGGAGAAGATTGAGATAGATATGAAAAGAATGAGATAGATAAATAAATATTAAAAGAATGAGAGATATTAAAAGAATGAGATAGATAATGAGATGTGAAAAGAATGATAGATATGAAAAAAATGAGATAGATATGAAGAGTTGGGTATAAAAAGAAGATAGACTTTTCTGAAGAACTGAATACAAACAACTCACCTCAAGTTTTTAAATCAAGATTGTCCTTCACCTACGCTCTAGTCTCCCTTTGTTTATGTTTTGGATACGAAAATGAAAAATCAGCAGTAGAGCTAGCAATTGATTCTATATAATCTTTCCACTTCATGTTAGCTGAGAACTTTAGTCTGAGAAGATTTAGATAGATAGATAGATAGATAGATCTGAAAAGAATGAGATAGATAGATAGATAGATAGATCTGAAAAGAATGAGATAGATAGATAGATAGATCTGAAAAGAATGAGATAGATAGATAGATAGATCTGAAAAGAATGAGATAGATAGATACATAGATCTGAAAAGAATGAGATAGATATGAACAGAATGAGATAGATCTGAAAAGAATGAGATAGATACATAAATCTGAAAAGAATGCAATAGATACATAGATCTGAAAAGAAGGAGATAGATATGAACAGAATTAGATAGATAGATAGATCTGGAAAGAATGAGATAGATATGAAAAGTATGGGAAAGATATTAAAAGAATGTGATAGATATGAAAAGAATAAAATAGATATGGAAAGCATGAGATGGATATGAAAAGCATGAGATATAAAAAAATTAGATATAAAAACAAGATAGACTTTTCTGAAGAAGAGAATACAAATGACCCTCCTCATGTTTTTAAATCAAGGTTGCCCTTCTCTTAGGCTCTAGTCTCCTTTACTTTGTTTACCTTTCAGATACAAAAATCAAAAGTCAGCAGCAGAGCTAGCAATCAATTCTATATAATCTTTCCACTTCATGTTAGCAGAAAGCAATATATAAGAATAAATACATCTATGACAATTACATAACAACTTACTATCAAAATAATACAAAATTTTAGTATGTCTACACATTTCTACATTTTATATTCTGGAAAACATATTTATAAGTCTTCCATCCTTTGAATATTACTGCCACATATGGTCTGGTGCTCTTGCTATATATTTAGAGATTCTTGATTAAATCCAACAAAGAATCAGCAATATTATTAGTCCTGGCCTGGCATATCACTTTCAGTCACTTTCTGAATAAAATAATCAAACAAAAGCTGGTAATGAACGATAATACTTAGGAGAAGAACAACACATATAAGATTCACCACCGATGCATAGAAGTAATCAACTGCTAAAATGAGTCAAGTGAATTCCACAATGAATCTCCAACTGCAGACCAACATACAATACTTACTACTGTATTTATGTGAATGGGGACATACCCATTATCATCCATAGGTATGCTATAACAGATATAAAAACCTAATTCCTGTAATTTGAAAATATGTCATTAGCATTCCAAGCGTTGTTTGGATGATTTAACTCTTTTTTCCTGTTATTTTGGTTCTTCTCACAGACTTCTTTGTGTATACAAAAATACCCCAGTAGTTTTGAGATGACTCATTATTATTCAAAGAGTTGTGCATATTATTGATAGGTTTTGTTTTTACAAGAAACTTTGAATGGTCCATACTGTTGACTTCTTCATGTGTTCAAAGATACCAACTGTAATTCTGAAATGATTCATTATCATTCCAAACTTGGTTTAGAATTCATTCTTTCTGTTGTGAACATAACATTTCAGCCAATACATCATCTGACCTGCTGTGTACATTTTGAATGGAAAGACAGGAGTGAATCCAACAACATTTCAGTCAATATATTTGATCCAAGCAAGATAGGAGTTCCAAAAGATTTAAGCCAATACATTTCATCCAAGTGAGGTGGGACATCAAAAATATTTAGGCCAAGACATTTTATGGCCTGTTGCCATCTAAATGAGTGGGGAGTTGAAAAAAATTTCAGTGAAAACAATGTAACGCTTGTTGTGTATGTTTTGTATGGAAAGAAAGGAGGACGTGGAAACCAGAATATCCATGTCAGAAAAACAATAAAGCAGCAAATATTCTTACCAAACCAACACATTATGCATATAAGCCAGGCAATTCCATATTTTATGAGATGCTAAAAAGTTCCCAGCCTGACCCACTTCTAAGAATCAGTATTTCAATGATCAAACATCAAAAGATTTTCGAAGGTGTTCTGTTACAACAATACAGAACCCCTATTGTTTTACTTTCCTCTTGTTTGTCCCTATTTTCAGTCCTGGTTATGAAGATAAACTACATCCAGCAGCAATGCTTCTTTTCTCACTTGTTCACTCACATTTTCTCATACATGATCTAGTCCTGGATATGAAAATAAACTATATACTGCAACAAGGTCACTGATTGGGAGATTGTAGATTTTGATGAGTGTGGAGCCACCTCTTAATTGCTGTTGTTCCCTCAGTCCACCATGATTTGGTATAGTAGCATTTGTTAGGGTCCCAGCTATGGGCAAAGTGAATACCCAAACAAAAACAAAACACTATGAAAGTGTAGAAATACATTTTTGTAGTATAAATACGAGCAATACATTTTTATATAAAAACCAACAATACATACTTGTAGTAGAATTATGAACAATACATTTTATAGCAAAATGACCAATAATACATTTTACTTGCAGTTGAAGACATACAATTGCATTCAAAATATATTTAGTTGAAGCCATAAAATTGTATTTGAAATGTTTAGATTTTGGCATTAAATATCCCATAGAGGTTGATGTGCCCCTAAACAAAATCAAATGCCTAACATGAAAAAACTCTTTCATGACATTAATCCATATAATATTCAACAATTTCTTAAATAAATCAAACTGTATTCCCAAATATAACTACAATATGAAACACACTCTAGTAAGTATGTTCACACAAACATTTATATACACAAAAGCTGAGTATCATCTACCACGTATTCACTTGTGAAAGCAGAATAACATCATATTTTTATTACTTCAAAGTTCACAAGAAAATTAAATTTTCACATTAAATGACCTATAAGGAGTTGATATGCCATTAAACAACAAATCAATCAATCGATTGGCCCCATTTTAATTTAGTCACCGTTTTTGACCACTTTCTACCTGTAATAATTCCTGGAACTGACACAATTAGTGCAGACTCATCAATGTTATCAAGGTAGTTATAACTGATCTTTAAGTTATTTTTGTTAAAAATCTTCCTTACAATTGCTGAGCGATTAAAGTTCTTATGAATTAAATTTAAGAAAATTCTTCCAATATTTGTTTGGATATTATGATTAAAAGGGGGATTAAACTATATAATGTTACAGCGTCTCTGTTTATTTTTATCTATTTTGTTTTTTTCTAAATATTCTAAATTTACTTTATGATTGCTTAGTTTCAATGCTTTGATATATTTAATTTTATTATTATCAAATATTTCCTTATTGCTGGTGTTCATAGATAATCTAACTTGGACTGATTTATCTCAATTATCTAGAATTTTATGATGATGGTTGGAATCTTTATTGACATATCTG